ATGCAAAGCAATGTGAGGTTCCCAAAACCTTTATCCACATGACTTGGAAAAACACAGAATCTGAGCAGGGTAATTACCACAGTGCTGGAGATTAGTGCTGCTCCCTTTTTCTGTACCAGTATTTCAAGGGTTGCTGTGACTGACTCAACTACATTCCAGTTTGAACTCAGCTTAATCCCACACTTGACTTCAGAGGAACACTGACTTGCTATTTCAGAACCACACACCAAATCTATCACCCAGCACCCTTGTGAAATTCAACAAAACATGCTTAAGAGTTTTTTAAAGGTTTCTTTTTTAATAATCAGCCTCATATAAGATCTTTGTTATGCTACAAAACCCACACATCTACTACTTATTCCAGTAACGTAGCTAAGCAAATATATGTGGGCATCAGACCAGAAAGCAATAAAAGCTCTTCGTCCCCGAGTGAGGCTCACTGTTTTATCGGTGCAAGCTCTCTTGTGTGACAGAGCACAGTTGGCACTGCTGCCACTCCAATTAATTACAGTCACACAAAGTACATGCTGGCAATTGTGCCAGCAGAAGTTTAAATTCATCTGGGAGAAAAACACTTAAATACTTCTGGGAGAAACAAATACTAAATCCTTTTGTTACTGCTACCCATGATGACTTCAGTGCTAAACTAATGGAATCTTGTGATCAGATCATTGGTTTATAAACCAAACCAGGCTCTGACGTTCACATTCTCATGTACATCAGCAAGTTAGTGCAATGCACTGCAGAGCAAAAGTTTGTGCTGGGAACTTGACACCCACACCACCACAACATCTGGAGTGAATGCAAATACAGTAAACGTATTCCAGGACCATTTACTACAGGTTTGCTGAAGTCTTGTTCTGAAGACAGTGTCTGTTAGCAGTTGGGAGAGCACTAGGCTTGCTCCTGGCCTCCATCTTTCAATTTAGTTTCATCCCAAAAAAAGCTGGCTATACACATTCTGAGACATTTCACTGCAAACCAAAGCACAGCACGAGAAGTCAAGAGTATACACCTGATCCAAACTAAAACACCAACATAGATGTACTACGTATGTTCTGATTTAGGTCTATGACATCAAACCATCTGCAATTGATGTACCTACCTCATAGTTCCTGGCATTGGTATTAGCTGCCTTCTCCAGCTCAATGCGAGCTCGTTTGTGGCTAAGCTCCATTTGCATCTTCTCTCGTTCCACCTGCAGGAGCTGGGATTTGGAGTGGATCTGCCCAGCTTGTTCTTCCATCTCACCAGACCATGTGTGAAAACAGACATTACACACCATTAACAACATATAACATTGCTAGCTCCCACCTTGTGCTGTTCAGCTCACACCTGAATGCCACTTCACAAGTTACAAGGAATCTATCACCATATTTATGGTACTCTCGCACCAACTGCAGATGGGGAAACCAAGAGTTCAACAACACACTCAGAAACCCACATCAAATCAATGTTAGCTGGAAAGAAGCAAATGTCAAGTTCTTCATTCAGAATTTCTCATTCAATCTCTAAAGATACTCTAACAAAATGTACTTCCCTATCTAGAAAAAAAAACGTTACTGATGAACTTCCCAAGCCTCATAAAAGTAACAGCAGCTACCCAAGAAACAGAGATCATGTTCCCCAGGAAGTTTAACTGCTGGCAAAATAACATGGTTTTCTAACTGCCACATTACACTTCATTTTTTCATTCCAATTACCCTATAACACAGGCAACATTACTAGAACACCTCATGTCCAAGCCCTGTACACTCAAGACTAAAGAAGACTCTATAAACCAGGAAGAGTCTCCTCTAACCATCTTTGCAATGCATCTTTGCATCTTTTGCAATCCGAGATGTACCACAGACAGAAAATGTATAGGTTTTTTCATTCTAAATGCAAAGCAGATTTATATTAAAAAGAAATCAAGATTATTTTATAGAGACCTAACCAGAAATTATATTAAGACACACAACACAGAAACTTCATTCCAGCCTAATAAACAGTCCTTAGGATCCAAAATGTTAACTTCATGCTTCATGAGCATCAGGCAGCTTACAGGAAAAAGCTCAGAACAAACATGTGGAAACGAACAGCAGTAAACAAGGAAGCACAATTGGTCAGCAGATCAAAGCCACACACAAGGCAAGTCTTCTGCATGTGTCCAGACAAAGGAACTTTAAGGAAGATTGTAAAAAAAGTAACAAAATGACTTGCTAGAAAGTACTAATTGATAAAAGCTCCTTTGTTCAGCAATATGAAAACAACTTATAATTTAATTCCCTGAGCTAGATGCACTTATAACCAGCAGGGAAAATATTCAAAAGACCTTCCTGAAATTTGTACATGACAGAAATAAATGTCTGACACTTTAAAACAAATTAAAGACTCCCAAATGTTGAAAAAGCAAGCTTTCATTGAGCTTGCATGAGTATCAATCGTAAAAAGAATGGTGAGATCTTCATTAAATCAATCCCAGTCCCTGGAATCAAAAGAAATGTACAACCACACTAAAGCGACCCTGCGAGCATCACCGGGATGAGGACACCTCACCTGCACCCTCTGCTGGTACTGAATCTGCAAGGCGCTCCGAGACGAGCCTGGCGTCGCCGGCCCAGACGCCCCCTCCAGTGAAATGAAGTTGTTGAGGGATCTCAGGGCCGAGAAGACGGTGGTGTTATTTTCGAAGTCATCCATGGCTCTGGAAGTACATAGGAAGTCGTCAGCAAAACATCCAGAGCAAGCTGCGAAATACTGGCTGCTTTGTTAAAAAGAGATACGTTGTTGCCTAAACGTAACACTAAATGGAAGGTCTTCCAGGTCACAAGGTACAAAACTCAATCTGCTGGTCAACGCTGAGATCAACGTGAATCAGAAACCACTATTCAAGCAAGGCAGAAGTTGCAGGCCTCCTAAACGAGAAAACTATGCAAAACAGCCTGTTTTTCCTTGAGCTGTCTACCTGAAATTATTTATTTTGGACAGAGCCTTGGGTGACATGGTTTAGTGGCAGGTGTCCCTGCCCACAGCAGAGGGGTTGGAACTAGATGATCTTAAGGTCCTTTCCAACCCTAGCTATTCTATGATTCTACGATTCTCTCCCAAATCTCAGCCCATAAGTGTGTAAATAAAAGCTATCATAAATCATACAAAACTGAATTTTCCTTTCCTATACAATCAAGGTAACAGTCTGGGATACAAGTTAACATTGTAGGACATGAAGATCTGCAGCACCTAACACTAGTAAACAGAACTTACTACTCTTCATCCAAACACCTGAGGCTGATGGAGGAAGAATTCCATAGTAGCAGCAAATCCTACCTTCTACACAACTTGCCTCTGGTTTCCAAAAAGCACTTTGCAACTGAACTTCCAGCAACAAAACTTCCCAAGGTCACTTCTGTAAGTAAAACTGTCTCCTCATTCACATAAAAGCTCTCACAATTCTTCCTTCAAATCTAGAAGAATATTAACTAAAAGGCCAAAGCCAAAACAAGCCTGGATCCCAGAAAAACCTGCAAAGATTCCCAGGAGACTTCAAGAAGTCTAATGAGCCACACAAAGCCTCAGGACCATGAAAGGCAACCGCATCCACACAGCCCTGTACCAAAGGCACAGACTAGGGTCTAACTTTCAGAGCAACACAGCTGTTACTCTGGATTTATACCACTGCGAAGAGGAGATGTAATACTAACATAGGCAACGGATCAGCCAAAACCCAAATGAAAACGTTTATTCGCAGTAAGTACCTCAGTACCTCATGTAAATCAATTCAGGAGACACCACTGCCAACAGGTAATCCTGCACAGAAAGCCTGATTTGAAATCACGAACAACGCTAAAAATTAAAAGGACAAGCGTGTCCCCGCTGCACAAAACCCGCTCTCAAAGGTGCCCCGGGCACCGCAGGGGGGGGGTTTCCCTCACGGACCCCCCGAGGGCACACAGGGGGAGCGGGGCCTCAGCAGTGCCCACAGCCCTGCCCAGCCTCGGCCGCCCAGGGGTAGGAGGAACAGGGACAGGGCACAGCCTCCCTTTCCCGCTCCTACGACAGCGGACTCGGCCGGGAGCGACAGCCGAGCAGCGGGAGCGGGGCAGGAGGGGAGCGGCGAGCCGGGCTGTGCCGGTCCGGTCCGGTCCGGTCCGGTCCGAGCGGAGCCAGCGGCCTCCCGCCCGCCCTCAGGCGCTCCCACCCTCACTCACCGCCGCGCGCGCCCCGCTTGGATCTCCCTCCTCGCCCCGGCGCCGAAATCGCACGAGAACTCGCGCCCAGCTCTCGCGAGAACAGCGCCGCGGGCCGCCGTAAGGACGGTACTAGGAGCGCATTCCGCCCCGGCCTCCGCGCTGTACCGTAATGACCCGAGGCAGCGCCATTGAGGCGTGGGGGTAACGGGCTTCTGTGGGGCTTTCCTTACCAAACTCATACAAAGCAACACCCCGCTTCTTAGTTTAGGGAATCGGGAGGTTTCAAAGCAGGTGGAATTCGATAACCCTGTAAGCAATCCCAAATGAGCTGTCTGCAATGAGAAAGATCTGGAAGCCTTCAACCAGACGCTGTCAGGAGCTCCTCTTGCAACTCTGCCACAGTCAGCCGGATAAAAGCGCTGTTTAATGTGAAAGTTGTCACTTCCCAATAAACTGATCTTATCTTAGCAGTAGCTAAATTTCTTTGTGCAAAAGGAATTCCAGCAACTCAATCAGTAACCTTCCCTGTCTGGGATCCAAGGAATACTTCATCATTTCACCTAAGAGATAGCATTGGTCAAATATAAAGTATTACTGAAAACAGAAGGGAAGCTACCTTCTGGGTGATGATACCGACCCTGACAGGCACAAAAACGTTATCTATTTTTACACACACTGATAAATTGCACCGGCTTTAAAGAATTCTAAGCCACCAAATTGGTTTAGAATGCCCTTGATGTTCCCTCTCATTCCGACAGCCACCTTTTACGGTTAACCTCACATGGGGCAACATTAACAGTGCACTGATTTTCAAGCACGCATTAAAACCTTGTAAAATCACTGTTTTATTTCCATTTCCATTACTCCAAGCCCCACAGGTCACCTTTCAGATTGCTCCTCTCCATTCCCAACTGTTTTCTCCACAGGTGAGAAGTTAGATTGGATGCTTCTGCTGGGATAATTAGCAGATATAGGCAGCAGGGGACCACCCTTGTTATTTTTGTATGTGATGTACTTTGTAACAGTCATGGCAGATTTCCCCAGGGTCTGAATGGTGGGATTTTGCATTAAACACACAGCAGATTTGGGTTTCCAGTGAGTGTCTGATCACCTGTTTGATAATCTGCAGTTCTTAGCCTTCATTTCCCTTTATACAGTCTTGCCAAATAGTAAGATTCAGCAGAGTCCTTCCTGCTGGCGTGAGGCTTTATAGTTCTCACATCTTGGAACTGCTCCTTCAATCTGTTCTGCAGAAGACGGGACTCATGCCCATCCCAGAATTTACAGAGCAGCGTTCCTTTTGGCTTTAAAATACTTTGGGATACCTTCAGAAGCCCTAAACATAGATTGATCAGCTTCTGGTGATCCAGTTCTTTGATGCCTGTTGCATTAGGTGCTATGTCGCTCAAGATAACATCCACCTTCTCTGCAGGAAGCAGACTCTGAATCCTCCTCAGCGTGTTTGGGTCTGCAATGTCAGCCTCTGACAGGAAGACTGCTCCTTCCAGAGGAGCAATCCGAAGGAGGTCAACACCAAGGACGAAGCCAGTGGGGACAGCAGGATCTAGATAAGAACGAATGACACACTGAACACTCATAATGGTTGCAAACAACCTCCACAGTACGAGCTCTGTGCTAGTCATTAAACAAAAAACGCATCACCTGCCAGATCTGGTCTTCTTATCCTTAGACAATTTGCTACATGTGTCTGGATGGATGGTTTGCTGTAAACTAATCCATTCAGGATGTGAAAACTCAAATACTTTGGATAAGCAAGGGGTATTTTTCTTGGTTTTCTTCTGCTCTTTCAAGGCTGACAGTCCAGAAATGCTGGATGCTAGTAGAGATGGTTAACACCTTATCTTGGAAATATTAATAGCTTAAAACACACAAACTGGATATAGTGGGTACTATCAATTTTCAAGAAAGGAAATAAAATATCAGGAAAGCCAAGGTACCTCCTGAGGCCACATCCATGGCAGAACGGGATGAAGGGATCTTCCCCATATCATTTAAACAGAACAGTAGCACCACGTTAAGTTTTAATTTCACAAATATGATGTCTCCAGACCATAAGAAAGAGTTCCCGTTCCTCACTGCCACATATCTTCACACCTCTGTCAGTGAGTCCTGGCATTTACCAGTATCCATAATCCATTCGCTACACCACCACCACCACAACCGAGATTTCCCACACACCTCAAGATGAGCAGCATCCCCATCTTGCCTGCCAACAACACGCACTTACCGGTACCTAAGGCATTGACTCTCTCTACAGCAACCTGACTCCAAGCACCGGGCGCCGCTCCACAGTCAAGAACGGAAAGCCCGGGACAAAGAACATGAAGCTTGTCATCCATTTCCAGTAACTTGAAGGCACTTCGGCAGCGGTAATGCTGCTGCTTCGCTGCCTTGACAAAGGGATCCTTCACGTGCCGCTCCAGCCACCAGTGCTCAGTGCCAGTTTTCTTCAGAAACCTCACTGTGGTGTGGAGACATTTGCTCACCAAATGCCAACAGCTGCCCGGTAAGGAAGGCAAGTTATTCAATCAGTACATAATCACAGAAGGGATAGGGTTGGAAAGGACCTTAAAGCTCATGCAGTTCCAACCCCCTGCTATGGGCAGGGGCACCTTCCACTGGACCAGGTTGCTCCAAGCCGCATCACTATGTGTCTCAAAGGTCTCTATATAGCTAATTAATTCTAGCTGCACCTCCATCTCCTCCCAGGCTCACAAAAAAGCCGTCAAAATTGAGATTCATGATGCCTTTCGTTACCCGGTCCAGCCCCAACCAAAGGGCTGTGTTTGGAGTTAACCTCACAGGTTACCCTGAGGTGAGACAGAGGGGCCCCCTCATAGACAGCTCTTCCCTTCTGCTCTGCCGTTTGTGTTCCAAGGCCCGCAGGGCCACGCCATGGCAGCCCGACCCCAGCACACCACAGGCTGCCTCAGAGGGGCGGCTGGGGGTACCTCAGCCCCTCGGAGGAAGGAGGGTTGCCTCAGCTCCGCCATGTCTCTGGGCAGAGCACACCACCAACCTCTGCCACCACAGCTTCCCAGGTCACTAACCCCCTCTCCGGCGTTCCCAGCAGTGACAAACCCAAAACGCACGGTACCCGTTTCTGAGGGAAGCTTACGGCGCCGCGGGTAACACCAACCCTTCCCGGCACACCCCACCACCCGACGGCTGCCTCAGCGGCCCCGCCACGCACCTACCCCCGGCGGCAGCGGCGGCGGCAGCACCGACCCGCCTCCCCGCCATGGCGGCCGCCTCAGCCCGCCCCGCCTTCCCTCCCCTCACGGCTGCCGCAGGCGGGGCTGGAGCGGCGGCGGCGGCGCGGGAAGGGCCGCACCGGGCCGGGCCTGCTCTGAGGTGGTGGCTCAGCGGTGGGAGGGAGGGGGACAGGGCCGGGGGAATGGGGGCTGGTGTTGGAGCGGCCGGGAGGGGGGGGTGACGACGAGAAAGTAGGGGCAGCCATAAGGGAAGATCATGAGGGGTGCCCAGGGGTGGCCATGAGGGGAAGGGGCAGCAGCTATATAGTGTGGGCCGCTGTTGTGGGGGGAAATGAGGGGTGGCTGTGAGTGGAGGTCTTGAGGGGACGTCAGTTTGCCCTTAGTGGACTTGGCAGTTCAGTTGGGCTTTACCATCGTAAAGGTCTTTTGCCATCTGGTTGATTCTATGGCGGATTCAGGGAGAGGGTGCTGGGAGAACAGGAGGGTTGGTGAGGAATGCTAGAGAAGCAGGCACTGGGGACCGAGGGTTTGGGCTGGGGATGGCAGGGACCAGGCATTTGGGGATGGCTTGATGGGTGTGTGGGGTAGAGGAGCTGCCTGCACCCCGTGTGATGGAGGAGCAGCTTGCCCTCCCCTCCGAGGGGTGCCGGGAGCCCTTGGCGCAGCGTGTCCTCATCTCCTGCCCAGGAGCCATGTACACCACCAAGCTCTTCACCCTGGTCCTGGTGGTGCAGCCGCAGCGCGTCCTCCTGGGCCTGAAGAAACGAGGGTTCGGTGCCGGGCTGTGGAATGGCTTCGGTGGGAAGGTGCAGCCAGGGGAGAGCATCGAAGAGGCTGCTCGGAGGTGAGCTGGTGCTGTGGGGAGAGGTGGGGTCAGGGCACAGGAGGTGTTGGATCGTTTGTGGTGGGGTTACTGCAGCTCAGCCGATCAGTAACGCCCTTGGAACCAGTGTGTTACCCACCGGTGCTGTCCTGAGCCATCTCTGAACAGAAAATGGCCTGCTCCGCAGGCGATGAGGGATCGGCCACATGAACAGGGAAAGGGGATGGCTCCCCATTGCTGTCATCTGCAAATCTTTAACTGTTGTCCAGTCTATGAGTAACTGGAAGTGAGCATCCTCCCTCCCAAAGACTGATCTAAACTGAGCCTTTGTCTGCTAGCAGTGGGCAGAAGTTCTTGCACTGTTCAGAAAGGTGCAAAGTTTAATCATGGCTGCATAGCAGAATTACAGCTTATGCCAGCAAACTGCTTAGTGTTTAATGTTGAACAGATGCTGCCTTCCAGTAATGAAAACGTAGTAGCAAAACAGAGATTTTTAGGGGTCCCTTATGAAAGGCGCTGGTGAAATTTATGATTTGACTTCATGGCGGCATTTGAAGCCTTAATGCTGAGTTGGGGAATTGAACTCCATCAGCACAGAGGTACAATAGCATTTCTGAAGCTTTTAGTACTCATTCCTCAGAGTTCTTCTGTTTAGTCAGTAAAATGAAATAGCAGATGGCAGCTGAATTGCTAAACTCCTCTAAAATTTAGGTACCTCATTCTTTATACAAACATTGCTGATACAAAGCCACACTTTGCCACTTCCTCTGTTTCTGATAAATGCCCCAATTTGCCCTTGCAGCTGCAGGAAGATGAGTGTTGGTGTAGCTCAACAGCTACCCAACAGCTTTTTCCCTGAACCATCTGTGCCAGTACAACCGCCTGGGTTCTGTGGTGAGCTCTTCCAGGGATACAGGAGTCCTCTCTGCAGGTGTTAATGTACCTCATGCTTACATTGTGGCTTTTCATGTAATTTGTCATCTCTAAGAGGAGGGAGACTTGTTTTGTTACTTAATTCAGGCCTCCATTTGCTAGGCTTGCACTGCCACTGTGGTGTGAAATGATTGAATTTAGCATTTGGTTTCCTAGGTGTGTGTTTGCCTAGAGTGAGAAACTGGAGCTTTAGTCTATATGAGTTGTCAAAGTGAGGAAGGTGTCACCCATCCCAGTGCAGTGTGTGCCGCAGGAACAGCCAGTGCCTGCTGCTGTGGAGTGCAGAACAGTCCAGTCCTCATCCCTTTCCATGCAGCTGGTAGGACTCACTGCAACGACACCACTGATACCAGCTGAGCAGGAAGCAGTCCCCAGAGCCAGGTAGACACAGCCTGCCTTCCTGGCAGGAACACCACTATAGCTACTTTAGGTGCAAATCTCCTCCAAGAAGCATCACACAGTCCAAAGCAAACTTACCTTGGCTGCTCTGTATTCAGGGCTGGGGTATTAGGCCATGGTTCTGTGTTGCACTGTCTCAGTTGGCTTTGCACTGGTGTAAGGTGTGAAGTGTCCTCACAGCACTGATAGTTAAACATTAAGCTGAAACATGAGCAAGTTTCCTCTGTCTGTTAAGATTCCTATCTTCCATTGGGTACATCACATTCCTGTGAGCACCTGGGCACTCATGGCTCCTCCCTGGCACATCTTGTAAGGGGAATACTTAGTTCATTATTTTCAGTTTGCTCCCTGTAATGTTTCTACTTCCTATATACGGAGCCAAACGGCCAACAGATAAATTGCTTGGAGAACCATAGCAGTGTTGTACTTTGTTATTCAATTATCGCAGCCTGTCAAATGAGGCTTTTAGATTTGCTGCTGGAAAACTGCCTCTGTTTTAAACACAGTTGCTCAAGGAAACTAAAATTAGCTAAGCTATTTAGTTGGAACATGATTTTGAAGGATGGGACCCATGAAATCGATGCCAAAGAAAGCTGGAGCCTTAAAGAGCATTTCCATTACATTTTGAAATTAAGTGGCTGCCAAATATTCAACTACATCAATTATTAACCTTAACTGAAGATGCATTGTTTCCAAGCATTCCTTACTTTTGTCCATTAGAAAAAACATTTCTAACTTCAAGTTATGCTGACTCTGTTAGGGGTAGGCTAAAATAAAATAAGCCCTAAGCACACAGCACAAAGAGAGCAAGTAACTGAATGTGCTTCGAGTAGCTGTGCATGCTGACGAATGGGAAAGAGCTGTCTGGCAAGTCCTTCAAACTGCTCTTTAAGTCTTCCCTTGTAGCTTCTCCTTATGCTAAATGTACTTCCAAGCAGCAGAAATAGAAAGTTTACACAACTGCTTTGTGTTTTTATGTGGCATTTGAATGGGAAATGGTATTCCTAACTCTGCGTGCAAATGATGTTAGTAGCGTGTAGTGTTCTTTAAATTAGGTTCAGTTAACCTCAGAAGTAGCTGAGTTTGTTGCAGTACAGCTGCTTCAGTATTCCTTACCTGCTTCTCCACACTTCTAAAAGCTTCAGCTTGAAGTTGGCAAAGCCAACAAAGCATATCTTGGAGTTCTTAAACCACATCCAGCTACAGTCATACAAGCGTTAGCCCACTTCTAACTCATCTAAGATCTTCATGTTGTAAGGGATGTAAATCACGCTAAACAATTTTTCCTGAATCTTCCATTTCCAACATAGACTGTTTTCCTACCAGCCTTTAGGAGCTTAGAGTAACACAGGAGCTAGTCTGACTTGGCTGTTCCGTGGTGTCAGTCAGTAGGGGCTGTGCCCTGCTCCGTTTTGCAGGTGCGGCGTTCATCTTTAGTTTACTAGAAGAGTTTTAAACGTGCAAGTAAAGCTAACAACTGCTTTTTGGTTCTCCCACTGCTTGCTTTCATGTGAAGAAGTCTATTTCTTGTGCAGGGAGCTCCTGGAGGAGAGCGGACTGACTGTGAACACCTTGCAGAAGATGGGTCAGATCACATTTGAATTTGTGGGCAACTCTGAACTCATGGAGGTTCACGTTTTCCGGGCAGATGATTTTCATGGAGAGCCAACAGAAAGCGATGGTAAGTGAGGGGAAGGAAGGATGCGCATTCTCTTCTGAGACAGTACTGCTCTTTGGAAATGCAGAACTATTCATGCCAAAATCCCTTTGCGAAGGGATGGAGCTGAGCTGTAGAGTGGAACTTACTGACACATACTCAAAGGGGGGGTTGGAACTAGATGATCTTAAGGTCTTTTCCAACCCTAACTATTCTAAGAGTCTATGAGGAAAACACCCCCAGGAGAAAGTCTCACACCAAGTTGTTTTGTTTTTTCTGCCACCAGAAATGCGTCCCCAGTGGTTTCAGCTGGATGAGGTGCCGTTCAGTCGCATGTGGGCAGACGATATCTACTGGTTTCCCCTTGTGCTTCAGAAGAAGTTGTTTCGGGGCTATTTTAAGTTCCAGGGACAAGACACAATCCTGGAGCACAACCTGAAAGAAGTGGAGGAAGTTTAAGAAAACAGAAGCAGTCAACCCACGTGCTGCTGCCCACACTGGGCTAGAACACCACGAGTACTACTTCCAAGGGTCTTCTTTCTCAGCTCTCCAGCAAAGAAGCTGATATGTCAGGTCACTGGGAAGTAACCAGGAAAATAAGGGGACTTCCTAGAGCAGAAATAAAAGTAACGAGGTTGTCCATGCTGTGAAGTCCCTGGCGGTGTTACATACACTTCAGCCAGGGTTATGTGATCACAGCTATTAAAAACATAGTGTTAACTCTTTCCTGCATAGCTGAATGATGTTTTAGGCTTTCCCCTCATGGCTGGAAATGTTTTTTTTTAAAAGATTAAAGCTATTTTTTAGTAAAAGCACGCGTTGCTCTGTTGTTAAATGTTGGCTGCCTTCTCTGCGGGTTAAGGGCCTTTCAGGAGTTGGCTTCCTTTCACAGAAGCATTAAGTGGACAGTGATGCAGCAGAATTGATTATCTTCTCTCTGCCAGCTTCTATCCAGTTCCTTATTCAGCATTAACTCCTGGGGTAAGGCAAAGCTTGACCAGCACTGTGAAAGCCCTTTGTAAAATATGTTGAACAAAATCAACTTTGAGCAAAACCACATTGCAAAGTGCCATCACCTATGGCTGCAAGCTTCGCCGTGCGTTGGCTGCAAGTGACCTGCTCAGCCCAACTCAGCACACTGGGCAGCAAAGGCTGAATGAAACCATGCTAGAAATAACACATCACATATGTAACTTCTTACACAAGTTTTGTTTGGTTTTTGGTTTAAACTTTTACAAACACATATAACACAGATAGACTCTTGGAATGTAATATAGGCTCTGTAAACATTTCCAGTCTAACAGCTGTAGTAATAGTTCTTTAATTCCTGCATTTGGATAAAGTGCTTCATACATAAGGCTATTTGAGCAAAGCAAAGATACAGGATATTCCAGGCAGGCAAAATTCACACCCTCTGAACAAGATTGTTTGTTCTTGTCTCCCTCCAGCAGTTCTGAATGATTTATAGCAGTCAAAAATGCCCTTCTTCATGTGCTCAGGAAGTTACAGCTCAGACAGAAGATAAGAGTTAACACCTTAGGATCTTGCTTTTGCTTTTGTGCTGCACGGTTATTTACAGAGTTCTTGATACTCCCCTCTGTTCCTGACATAGCATTAAGAGGTTCTGGCTGTTCTGGTGGAGAGAAGGGCTCGAGGTAAGCAGAGAAAATAGGCACAAGGAGATAGGTAGCTTGTAGCGGGGTGCAAGACCTGACTGTGTCATAGGAAAGGGGGTGACTGGCAGCTGATACCTGTGATGTTAGTTTGGGTTATTTCCTGGTGGAAACTAAATGGCAAGCTGAGAGAGAGCAAGTTATTTTCTATTACCTCCAGGAACAGCAAGTAACTCCAGGAACACTTTAGGAAGGAAAAGAACAAGTGTGGCTCATGCTTGCACTTCTATTTGCTATCTCCTCTTTAGCTCCTGTCAAAAAGCAGTGATGGTATTACTCCTACCCAGCTGTAGAGACTGACATGTTTTAAACAAGTTGTGTCCCCAGCTGGTGATCTTTGTCTTTTAGGAAAGAGCACAAACTTAAGATTGGAAATTAGCCTGGTAGAAATTCCAGGAATTATACCCTTGCACGATCAAAGTAGAAGAGTAAAAGCACTGGAATGCAGCAAGGCACTGCTGAACATTGAGGAACAACTTGCAAAGATGGCAGGAGGGGGAAAGCAGGATCAAAGATGAAGGTTCTATTGTAAATACAGTTTTGAAAGCCTTTCAACACGACACTGGTCAAAAAGCCTCTATATTGCCACTTCACAGCTCGGAGCAGAGGAGACCTCAAGAGTGACAAACACATATATAGCCCTTTTGATAAAACAGTTTTCAGGCACGGTTTCAGGTTCTCAGCTGTTTACTACCCTGATACCTCCGCAACAGGTTGGACAGACACTGACAGGAACATTGGAGGCCTTTTCTACCATCACTGTTGAACACATGAAAAGCCCTGTGACCTCCAGCAACACACAGAAAGCTTCCACTCAAGAAGGCACATTAACTCTTTGGCACTACATCTTACAGGAGCATCAGTTCTTGGACAGGCATCAGTTAGTCTCCTAGTTTGATTAGTGTTTAGCGCAATCTACCCAGCTACCAGCAACGGAACCAACTCCATTAAATCTTGTTCCTACCCTTGTGTATAGCTGGGCTGTTTGCTGCAGAAGGCAATAGCATGGAGGTAACTAGAACCGATTCTCCTACACTGATGAGGGGAGATAAAACAATTGAAGTCAACTGGGTTGACTCCCTGCTGTATCCCTCAAGAGGAAGGAAGCTTTGT